GGGGCTCGGCGGCTGCCTCGGAGCGTGGGGAGCCACGCGCGACTGCCCGGCCAGCGCCGTCCTGCGATCGAGCGGTTCGACACCTGGTAGCTAACTGTGCCGGCCCGGGGGCTGCCCATTTCACACCGATTACCTCCCGTGTGACTCTCACCACAGCTCCGGGGGTGGGAGGGAGCGTCTGTGCCCACTTTATGGAGGAGCAAATGGAGGCGCACGGTGCACGACACGCTAGGAAGTGGCAGAGCCAGGACTGGGACCCTCGTAGGGGAGCCCTAGAGGCCGCGCTCATATCGGTGGGGAACTCCCGATCATATGATCGAGCTCGTGCCTGTAGCCGGCCTTAATGCATAGTCACGTGTGGTGGGATCCCAATTAGTTCTGAAGAATTCATGGGTGGGGAAGTTCGCTGGGGTCTTTGGGCCGGCCGGAGTGTGGGCAGTGTTTCAGGAGTGGTTGTTTCAAGGAACCATTCATTCGATAGGTGACAGCGAGTACCGGGTTGCTTGAATGAAAGTCTGGAGGTTCCCTGTGAAGAAAAACTAATGCTCCCAAGATTTATACACACCCCTAAACACTCTCTCAATTCTACCAGTGTACAAGAACATTGCTTAGGCTTGGCAGAACTAGAGAATGTGCTGCTTATTTTTCAGTGTCTCATACTTCAGTTCATCAGGGTTTTTATTCTTCATATTGACATGCATTTAAAAGAGATTTGCTTCAAAGTAATGGGGGCAGGTGTGCCTTCCTCTACACGAAACAAGCAAGGCCAGGTGTTGATAATTGCTGACACAGCGATGGAGACAAGGAATTTATTTTATCATTACTTTTTTACATGAATTTTCCATAATAAAAGGGTTTTTTTTAAAAATCTGTAGATCAAAAATTGGATTCTTACTGCTACATGTGCGGTAATTGTTCCTCTAAAGTGGAGGCCTCAACTTTTTAGTATTAGCAAATTGTTCCTTTTTTGTAATTGAGGTGTTTATTTTGGTGATAAAACTGCATATATAACTGGACAACCTTTTTTTTTTTTTTTAAAAGATGACCGGTAAGGGGATCTTAACCCTTGACTTGGTGTTGTCAGCACCAAGCTCACCCAGTGAACTAACCGGCCATCCCTATATGGGATCCGAACCCGTGGCCTTGGTGTTATGAGCACCGCACTCTCCCGAGTGAGCCACAGGCCGGCCCATAACTGGACAACCTTTATTATTATTATTATTTTTAAAAATTTAAAGCTAGAATTCACACGATTAGTATGCAACGTGATTTGAAAGAGATTTCACCATTTTCTTCATCTACAGGTTTTTTGGTTTTGGTGCCTGGCCAAGTAAGGGGATCCCAACCCTTTACCTTGGTGTTATCAGCACCAGTTTTGTTTTTAACATACTCTTTCTATGTATTTATTAAAGATTCTTCCAGTTAGAGAAAAACTTAATGTAAATATGTTTATGAGTGTTTGTGCGGGAGGAGATAGGGAGGAACTCTACCAAATCTCTAAGGCTAAGTTTTCATTCATGATTTGTTATAAAAAAAACTTTCTACTCAGGTGGCCTAAAATTCAAGATCATGAGAGCTAGATAATTTGATCAGTAGAGGTAGGTGGGAATTGGGGTCTCAACTGTTCTGGGTTGCTTTCTAAAATGGGGTGTTAAAACTGATTCCGCTAAGTGCTTCTGAGTAACCAATCAATTCACTTCCTTGCTGCTGTTTGACATTCTCACAGTGACCATCTTTCCACCATAGAAAAGGACACAAATGGAGAAACTCTATGGGTGTGGTGTTATCCTTCCACGACAGCCACGTTAAGGAATCTGTTGCTGAGAAAATGCTGCCTTACAGATGAAAACAAACTTCTTCATCCCTTTGTCTTTGGTCAGTACAGAAGAACATGGTTTTATATCACAACAGTTGAAGTTCCAGATTCTTCAGTTTTGAAAAAGGTATGCACTGAGGTCAAAAAACCAGAAAGATTTAAAGTGATGTAAGATTATTACAATAACTCTTAGCTTTAGACCTTATCATTCATGATACACTTTTGAAAATATTAAATATTTTCATTGGAAGTGTTCTCTTTCACACTTCACTCATTCATTCTATAAATATTTGTTGGTGTCTATTATATGAAAGACCCTGTGGTTGATACAATGGTGGGCAATACAGCAGTACATGGTATCTTCCCTTTATCAAGGTTACAGTCTGATGGTGTAGAAATGTAAAAGTAGTTTCAAAGCCATGACCAATTAAAAGGTGGGAAGAAGTATTTTTCCATAATTAAAAACTATTTTAAGGGATATAATTATCATTGGCATAGTTAAGAAATTGTTTTATATTAAGAATTTAGAAAAGATAATTAAGAAAATTCATGTTTTAAGTAGACTTTCTTGGTGTGTTGTTTGATCTAAATAGTATCTGTGTGACATGTGGAAAACCAGTATGTGGTCGTTGTGGACTTTCCTAATCCCAACCAATCAACCAGCAGGTTTTTTCTTTTCTTTTCTTTTTTTTTTAAGATGACCAGCAAGGGGGTCTTAACCCTTGACTTGGTGTTGTCAGCACCACGCTCTCCCAAGTAAGCTAACCGGTCATCCGTATATAGGATCCGAACCCATGGCCTTGGTGTTATCAACACCACACTCTCCCAAGTGAATCACGGGCCAGCCTAACCAGCAGGTTTTTTCAAAGAAAAGGATATTGGAAGGAAGTGGCTGAGCCTCTGGTGTATACCCAGCTGGGGACCTCCTTTCCCTTTTAGTGCTAATTTAGCTAATAATGGGACTATATGAAGCAGGACCAGAACACCAGTTTCGACTTAAGGAATTACATTTAAAATAACAGGAAGGCAGCAATTCAGACACTGTTACAGGTTTAAGACAAAACAGAAATTCATAATTAGAAAATATAAATTTGAAAGAAGCTAGGTTTCAGTGTGTAATAAAACCTTTGGATTATATTCAGTGAGTTCTTGCTGAAAAGTCTTGATGCAGCCCCAAGTATACTTATCCCATGTTTCACATTACAGGCTGCCAAGTTATAGCAATATTAATATCACATCTGTTTTTCAGATTTGAAAAATGGCAAGACTGAGAGATAATTCTTATACTTCAAGATAAGGTTTTTTATTTATTTATTTTTATTTTTTTTTTTTGTCTTTTTGTCTTTTTTCGTGACCGGCAACGGATCGCAACCCTCAGTGTCGCGCCCGTACCGGACCGGGACCAGCAACGGGATCGCACCCCTCGGCGCTGCGCCCGCACCTCGCTCAGCCAGCGAGCGGCCGGTCTGTATGTGGGATCCGAACCCTCGGCGGGAGCGCCGCCACACTCTCAAGCGGCGCACTGTAGCAGTGCGCCACGGGGCCGGCCCAAGATAAGGTTTTTTAAAAATGTGTCTCTTCAATGCTTTGCTTTTTATAAAGTTCTGAATTTTGTCTCATTGATGGAAATATTAGGTATGGCTATCAGGAATTTATATTTAATAGGGCCGGCCCATGGCTCACTTGGGAGAGTGCGGTGCTGA